AAAATTTCACCAAGGATCAAACAAACTAGGGTTTTTCGTGATTTTATGTGAATGTAGATTGTTAATTGGAATGAAATGTAATTTTATCAATACGCGAAATTAGTGAAGCATCTGAATTCCTTCAATTGGATTGGACCATCGACATCAACAATTCATGTCTTTTTACTCAATTGGAGGTTTTCATCATAACCCTCTGATCGGAATATTTAACACTGAAGATCAATTAATATTCAATTGTAATCCTAAGATCTAGAGTTTTGCAAACCATTTCCACACATGTTTATTGGACTAAGATTAAGAAACAACCATAGACACAATGCTTAAGGCAGTAAATAATCCATCAATAAAATTTAATGAAATTGAAATTCAACAATTAGTTTAATTTTACAATAGAGAAAAAGTGTTGAGTCTACGAAGAATATAGTAAACGTTAAATCAATTCTAAGCAATTTTATGAAAGAAAATCTAGATCTAGAAGTGTTTGACAATAAAAGTACCAATTTACATTAAGAATTGATGCGAAGTACCCAAATCCAATGAGTTCCTCCGTAGCTTCACCTAGGAACTTAGTTCTCCTTGGATTTCTTGAGCCAAACATGAGAGAAATTTGATAGGAGATGAATGAGGGTCATTCTGGGATGACCTAGGGTCATAAAATCATGTAGGAGACATGTTTCCATAAGTTTTGTACTTCAATTAGGAAATCGAAATTTTCGCCTCAGAAGTGAACCATGCGACCGCATGGTAGGTCAAATGGAATAATGAAAATGCACCTCTGAATTCCCTGCAGGTGTTTGTGCGACCGCATGGAAGAAAATCGTGCGACCACATGGTTATTTTATTTTTTGCCACCGGGCAGTTTTTAGTATTTTGACCATAACTTTCCCTCCCAATGTCCGATTGAAGTGATTTAAGTTGCGTCGGAAAACTAACTCAAAGGGCTACAACATATGTAAAGTGAAAGTAGTTTTGTTTAGTATGAGATTGCTTCACACTTCGCGGTGCTTACACCTCTTGCCTATTGAAGTTCTGTTATTCAATTGTCATCGTCCAATTCAATTGTTTATCATGTCAAAAATGGGTCCCAATACGAGGTTGAAAATGGTACGTAACTTTTTTCGATTGGGAATTGATGTGTGATCAGACTTCGACGATATTTCATTCCTTTGACTTCCTTTCTCATCTACTTGACCTATAACACTTTCAAATTTTCATCATAAGGTTAGACACAAGTTTGGAGTATTTGCACTTTAGTCCCTGAACTTTCATTTTTCCACTTTGGTCATTTTTTGCTCTTTTCTTCTATCTTCCATCTTTTCTACCAAAATGCAACATGAATCAAACCATAAGTATAATGAGTGCCTTTTGATATCAAATAATCAAATGAATGCAATAATTAAGAGGGAGAAATATTATATTTTACACTCTCATCAGTATCAAACCCACAAGGATTAAGTATTTGATTGAGCTCAAGTTAATAATAGCCTTAATCAAATGGCAACAAGTTTTGAGTTTCCTATACTAATACTTAATTTATAAAGTAAACTAGAAGCGATTTAACTGGTTTTTCGAATATTTGAAAGTATTGCTAGGAGTCGAATCTCCATTGCTAATCCATTTTTAGCATAACAAATTAAGTTGATAGTTTGTAGTCATTCTTGTTGGTCAATATTCCTAATTTAATTGAAAACCTCTCTCGATAGTTATTAAATATACTCCCTTCATGTGACCTTCTTATCTCTTGATAAAATATTTGAGCACGATAAATGTATTAAATGATCTAGAATGAGAACCATGTAAAGTATATAGGTATATCTTAATCCTCCATCGAACCTTACAATATTTATTATTTTCAGTTAAGAACTTATTATCTCTCTTAATAACAATGAATTCCAATAAATCATCTCAATTAGTAGTTAATTAATTGAGAAGTTGGTGAAAACAATAATAAATATCCAAGAAAACATACATACTAAACATCAAAATAATTAATTAATATAAAAAATCTCATAACAGGTGTTCATCTCATCCTAGCAACGTAAATATCTAGCCAAGCATACTGAAATTACAAGAAATCATTCTAACTTTAATAAACATCGCCTAGAATTTGATTACTGAAGAGAAATGATGGATTCTTGATAACTTTTGAGTTCTCATTTCAATCTTTGTGCAAATTTCTTGGTATAAAGTTTCCTCGATGATCTTCTTGCAATTCCTTGGTTGGCATAAATGTGCATAGGACATTCTAATATTTATATGACTCGTATTTAGGTCAAAGATGTCGTCCAAAACCTTATCAAGTTGCGTTTTAATCGTATAAAGAAACTTGAGATTCGATCGAACTATGCGGTCACATAGTGCATTGGGATGTGACCAAATAGTTGACTTTTTTCCTCCTCCAATTGATCGGTAACAATCTCAAATCCTTATTTTAAGGTTTGACCCAACTTTTCAATATTTGTACTTTAGTTCTCAAACTTTGATTTTACTTCATTATAGCAGTCTTGTAATGCCCCAAATCCACTTTCTTATTATTATTTTGTTTTTTAAATTTAAAGATTTAAAGTGTTGCCAAAATATTTCTTTATAGTTTAAGCAGAATTTAACACTAATGTATAGATTTTGGTGTTTGATCAATAACTCAGTAATGTGAATTCAACAATTGAAAATAAAAATTTGAATTTTATCTAGCCTAAAATACTACGAATTAAATTGCTAATTTAACATGTTAAATAACTTAAATGTTGAAATTAACTACTAAAATAACATGCACGGAATCAAACATAAAATTATTCTTGAAATAGAAATTGGCAATAATCATTTCTAAAACTTTTACTTGGTGACCCCATAAGCATCACTCGATCAATCTGCCATACGTCCACACGACCCATTCTAATTTGAAAAATTTATTATAAGAGAGAGTATTTAAAAAAAAAAACTCAGTAAGAAATACATGCATATTTTTATCAACATGACATAATCATAAAATGGCATAACATACCGACTTTTCTTAGATTTAGAGCAAACTGATCGTGATTCCAATAGCTCAAGAAATTTCTTAAGAATTTCCATATCCCGTAGAATTTAACATAGTCGACCCGATGGTTCATCCCAAAGGATTTAACATATTTGACACAGAGATCCATCTCGAAGGATTTACCATTGAAATCGACCATAAGGTCTTAAAGTATTTCATGCCAAGTCTATAAAAATATCAAGAAAATAAGAATTTAGTACTTACACAATGTATTCTTACTCTAATTTGATACCAAATGAATCTAAAAATATGATTGTAGAATAATAGTAAGGGAAATTTATTTCTAACAAAGTTTGCTATGTCAATTTGTCAGAAATGAAGTTTTTGGCGTCTTAAAAGAAAACTTTTAGCCATATATATAAAATTCTCATACACTTGTAACTCCAAGTAACAAATAACTTTTGAATTTAATAATTTAATTCCGAATTTATAA